TTCATTAAGTTTGGACTTGTATTGCTTTCTTTTGAAGACTATTTTTGAGTAAGTTGTACCTCCAACTGAGAAATATTGAACAGTGGGGCAAAATTGGAGGCATTAAAGGACATTTATTTATGTTTTGGATTTTGTTACGTTTGTGTTACACTCCGGGTTATCACACAGGCCTCCTGGAAGTTTGGGAAGGCTGGAAATGGGCCCGTTTTGGCTTCCAGAGAGGCTCCAGAGCCCGGGGAGGCCGTTTTCGCCCTCCCGGAGGCTCAAGAAAAGCCTCTGGAGCCTGGGGAGGGACAAAAAAACCCACACCCACCAAGGTGCAGGAGGCCGACTAGGTCACACCCACCATGGCCACGCCCACCCAGCGACTGGGCAAAGAACCCTTTGCTAAAATTTTGGAAGCCTATCCCTGTTGATACCTAATGGTAACTCATGGTATATAGTTCTAGGATTTTACAACAATTCATTTTGTATTTCATGGCAAGACAGAATGAACATTTTTTCTGAAGCAGCTGTTCCTAGCTGACCAGTCTGTTGTCTGTTATCAAAAGAAAGTATATATCCATACACATACATACAGATAACAGATAATCAGAGTTGGAAGGGACCTTATAGGTCATCTAGTCCAACCCCCCTGCCCAAGCGGGAGACCCGACACCATTTCTGACAGATGGGAGTCCAGTCTCTTCTTGAAAGTCTCAAGTGATGACGCTCCCACAACTTCCGAAGGCAAAGCTGTCCCATTGGTTGATTGTTCTCACTGTCAGAAAGTTTCTCCTTATTTCCAGGTTAAATCTCTCCTTGTTCAGTTTCTATTCATTATTCCTTATCTGGCCTACAGGAGCTTTAGAAAATAGCTTGACCCAGGGGTGGGATTCAAAAATTTTAACAACTGGTTCTGTGGGCGTGGCTTAGGTGGTGGGTGTGGCTTGGTGGTCATTTGACTGAGTGGATGTGGCTTGGTGGTCATGTGACTGGCTGGGCGCAGCCAACTCAATATCACTCACATCGCGGCACGCATCTCCTCGCCTGGCCTCTCATGACTGGGGATGCTGCAACAGTCATGTGAAAAATGGTCATAAGTCACTTTTTTCAGTGCCATTGTGTAGAGTTGTAATTGCAGGAATGTCTTTATCTTTGATGGCAAACCTCAGAGAAAAGAATGTTTCCAAGCAAATACAACTCAGGCAAACAAAGTTACTCATCTAAAGGAGGATTAGAGAGAGGAAGTAAACATATGTTGGACTTTGACTAGAGATCATTAATTGTGTTAGTTACTATGCTGAACAATAACGAAAGTCAAGCAGAAACCAAAGTTATCCAATGTTGGAGGATAACTAAAAATGTGTATAAATGCAAGACTAGATTCCAATAAAGATCATCATGAATCAGTTGATCATGGTCAAACACCTCGACTGCCTCATCATTGCAACAAGTGGCGCCCGAACAGGGACCCTCTTACTTCGTCCAGCAAGGATTTGGTGCACCTTCAACCCTTTGGGGTTTCTCAACCATTTTTGGTTTCTGTAAGTATGGGGTCTTCGCTTTCTGAGGAACAAAGGAAGCATGTAGATGAATTAGGCTATTTGTTGAAGAAAAATAATACTCAGGTACCAGAGAAAAATCTCTTAAGGCTGGTCCAGGAGATTGCAGCTCAGTGCTTATGGTATCCAGAAGAGGGGTCTTTAAAATTAACTGATTGGGAACGTATAGGGAAAACATTGCATACTGAACCTAGAGCAGAAATAGAAGTTTTGCAGGTGTGGCATTTATGTAGATATGCAATTGAAAAATTTGGTCACAATGAACTTTTTCTTTTAACACCTCCACCTTCAAGTTATACTAATGCTGTCATTTGTCCTCCTTCTTCACCTGAATATATGTCTTCCATTTCCTCAGCTTCTGCAGATACAGGGCAAAAGCCTCCTGACTCTATTATTCAGTCTTCTTTTCAGAAAATGGTTGAGAAAAAGGATGCCTCTGTCTCAGGAACAGAACTTGCAGAATTAGTGTCTGTTTGTCCAGTACAGTATCATCCTGGTCAGGGACCACAGCTTGGACTGCAAGTAGCAGAATGGGAGGGTCTGCCTTATCAGATCTTAAGAGAGTTAAAAAAGGAAGTTACAGACTATGGGATTAGTGGTAATTTTACAAGAGGACTTGTAGAAGGAATAAAAAATGGTTATACAATGATCCCTGAAGATTGGAAGCAAATATTACTTGACTCCTCCAGCAGTCTCTCTCACTCCTCCCCAGCCACAGTCAGTAGCGCTGGGATCAATTTAATCACTCAAGAGGAAATTGAGTTTAAAATTCCTTTGGAAGTTAAAATAGTTCCATCTCAATTTAAAGGTCCTCTTCCTTCAGGATTAGTTGGCTTAATTTTGCCTCATTCTTCTGCACACAAAAAGGGCTGTTTTGTTGTGCCTGGTGTAATAGATTCAGATTACACTGGTATCCTCATGATTCAGATTTGGGTGAATCTTCCTCAAGTTCTTCCTTGTAATTCTTCTGTTGTTCAATTGTTTCTTCTTCTATATGAAAATCCATCTCCTGGTATAGGTAATCGTGTGGATGCAGGATTTGGATCAACTTTTTTATCTGTAGGTTTACTTCATCAGTTGAACTCCTCTCGTCCTTTGTTAACACTCTTCCTAAATAAACAACCATTTCAAGGGTTATTGGATACTGGAGCCGATGTTACTGTCATCTCCTCTTTACAATGGCCAGTACAGTGGCAAAAAGGACAGTTTCTTCATTGTGGGGAATAGGAGGTTCTACAGCTGCTTGGCAGAATGTTCAAGAAATTAATGTTACAAAATCTGCTGGTAAGTTTTTTTTCCTACAACCATACATTCCTGCAATTACAACTCTACACCATTGTAACTTTGAATGGTCACTCCATACAAGCAAAGTACCAGCAAAGGAGGGGGAAAAATTCCAGAGACATTCCTGAGACAGGAAGTCTAGTCCTGCCAAGAATGTAATAAGGGTTAACAGTTTCTGTAAGCAATACCAGAATGTTTCCTTCCTGCCTTCCTTACAGGATTAGGCCAGTAATTTCTTCTAACAATTTCTCCGAACTGCTTAGAATGTTAACAACTGGTTCTAGCGAATAGGTGCGAACTGGTGGAATCCCACACCTGGCTTGACCCCTTCCTCTCTGTGGCAGACCATCAAATATTGGAAGACTGCTACCATGTCTCCCCTGATCCTTCTCTTTACTTGACTAGCCAAGCCCAGTTCCTGTAACCGTTCTTCATATGTTTTAGTCTCTGGTCCCCTAATCATCCTGGTTGCTCTTCTCTGTACTTTTTCTAGAGTCTCAACATCTTTTTTTGTAATGTGGCGAACAAAATTGGATGCAGTCTAACCAATAGCTAAAGAAACCCGGAAGCTTAAATTTTGGTTATAATTACTGGGATGGACCAGTTGGGATATGGGAACCCTTCATATGTCAGAATAAGAAGTCATGGTTTATTCTTGGTTTCTGTTTGTTGACTTTTGGGGGAAATAAGAAGGTTGGGGTAGTGGGATTCAAAATTTTTTACTACGAGTTCTGTGGGCATGGCTTGTTTGGGCGTGGCATGGCTTGGTAGGTGTGGCTTGGTGGGCGTACTGTAAAATCCCCATTCCCTCCCTGCTCCTGGGGGAAGGATTCTGCAAAATCTCCATTCCCCACCCCACCCCACTATCCTGCTTTCCAGCTCCGTTCTCCTGTGCAGTGCAACAAAAGAAGACCCAGCCAATCAGCTGGGACTCGGGAGGCGGAGAATAGATGGGGGTGGGGCCAGTCCGAGGTTAAACCATTCGTTTAGTGACCGTTCGAAGTTACAAAGGGCTCTTAAAAAAGTGACTCATGACCATTTTTTAGACATACAACCATTGCAGCATCCCCGTGGCCGCGTGATTGAATTTCAGACGCTTGGCAATTGGTTCATATTTATGACCATTGCAGTGTGATCACCTTTTGCAACCTTCTGATGACCAACGTCAATGGGGGAAGCCAGATTCACTTAACAAGCAGGTTACTGATTTAACCACTGCAGTGATTCACTTAACAACTGGCAAGGAAGGTCGTCACAGGGGGCAAAGCTCCCTTAACAACTGTCTTACTTAGCAATAAAATTTTGGCACTTAACTGTGGTCGTATGTCGAGGATGTTAGGGATATACACCCTAGCAGAACCTGCACGGCAGTCAGTCAGGCAGGCAAATATGTAAGATAAACGTTTTTGTAGCTTACACTCAGTAAAACAGATACAATGTGCTAGTTAAATAGTTTATTCCAGTAATAGTTATAGCATAGTCAAACAGTCCATATATCATACACTAGTTCAGTCCGTCCGGGGATTAATCAGTTGCAAAGTCCAGTGTCGAAAAAGAGGTCAGTAAACTTACAAATATCAGTCCAGTAATATATCTCTTCGCAGTAGAGATATGAAGAAGTAAAACCTCTTTTCTTCCTTCAGCAACGCAGTTAACAATCCATCATCGTCAGCAAGCAATTCAGTAAGCCAGCAATCAATCCAGTTCTCTTGCTCCCTCTTATGGCGATTTACAGCCGCACCCAAAATTACATTGCTTTGCAGTTAAAGTGACACACACTTAAACTCACTATCATAGTCTATATATATTATTTTACCCAAACTACATTAGGTAACTTATGTTATTCCTAACAGAGGATTTTCTGTCTTAGCAATGTATTAAAATCCTTGCAAACAACTTTCCGCGACATGTGAACTTAGCTTTTATATCTTCCTTCTGGAACAATAGTTGCCTTGTTTTCACCTCTGCCTTTTGAGACTTTTTTGGCTTGGATGTACCAGGTTGGGGTCGTTTACTTAGTTGGCGCTATTATTAATCATGAATAGATTTCTTTGTGGGGAGGGGACATAGTGTTCTGAAGGGATCATATTCCCCCCCCCCCCAATGCCAAGGTATTTCATAAGTTCTTAAAATGGACTGATTGGGGGTTTTTCCTCTTGTTTCTTTGACCAGGCCAGATAGCTGATGTTCAAGGCACAGAAGAGCCTGACTTATACCATGGTTGTTTGGAAGGAAGCTGTTACCCAGCCACAGGAAACCTGCTCATTGGGAGGGCCCAAAACCTAAGCACTACATCAACGTGTGGCCTGGAAGAGCCTCAGGAGTATTGCATTGTCAGCCATCTTCAGGTAACACTGGTTGAGAATTTGTGAGCTCACGCTGGCTGGGGGAATTTCTGGGAAATGAAGTCCACAAGTCTTAAAGTTACCAAGTTTGGAGACCCCTGGACTAGAGATACCGGAAACACACCCCATGAAGGTCATTGAAGATAGGTGCAATCCTCCTCCTCTTTTAACAACCCCATTATCCCTTGCGGGGTAGAGTCTGGGCAATTGAATAGAGCTGAGTATTTACTGGCCGGATGCCTTTCCTGTCACTAATGCGGTGTTATATTGACCAGATATATTCTCAGTGTGCCCAGAGAGAGAAATATCTGCCTCTAACTAGGATCGAACTCACAGCCTCCTAATTGTGAGGCGAGAGCACCACCTCTAGGCCACCGCACCACTCACTGAAGATAGGTGCAGGGCTTTTGTATATTTAAACTGGAATGATTCTTTTGACAGGACTCTGAGAAATGCTTCATTTGTGACTCACGCTCAGCCTCTTTCCGTGAGAGCCACCACATTGAGAATGTCATCTACCTTACTGGCCAGAATGGTGAACAGACCTGGTGGCAGTCTGAGAATGGTAAGAATTAGAAATTTGGAAATTATGGAAACTAATGTTTTATCTTCCTTGGTCCAGCAACTCCCCACAATTACATATCTCCAGATCTTGTTGGCCTTCAACAAGATATTTTTCATCATTAGTGTTGTCAGATCTTGGCTGACCACAGCTGACCTCTATATCGGCAACGCTATATTTGCTGCCACCTAGTGGTCTCTCAGACTTTTGAAGTCCAGATCTGATAGTCATATTGTATTTTTCATGAACTGAAATAGAGATATTGTGCAAGACAAAATGCCTGGTCCAAGATAAGGTGAAACTAGAACTCACAGTTTCCAAGTTTCTAGCCTGATGCCTAAACCACTACACCAAATGGAGTCTCTGTTCCAAATTCTGCGGAATTGCAATTACCAATCACCATTGGCTAAACTGGAACTACAGGGAACTATACTTTTAGGAGTCAATGTGATGCCATGGTTAAGAAGTTGAATTAGGACCAGGTCAAGTCCAATTTAGCACTGAGAACATTTTGAGCCAATTGTTCTCTCTCTTTTCACCCAACCTGTGTTACAAGATTTAAGCCGTGAGAATAAAATGAATGGAGATCTTCAAAGAAGTGCTTTGAGGAAAGGCAGAATATAAATTTAACACACATTGAAAATGTGTCAGTAAAGGGTTTCAACTCTGGCTGGACACATGGCTGGACATTCTCCAGAATGTTGATTCCTGTGGTCTCTCATTGAACAAGGTTTTTGCAAGTTTGAAGCCTTATGGAGAAGATTGCAGAATCTAGAGCAGAGCAGAAGGAAAAATAATGTTACCAGCAGCTTTATGAGACTATTTTTCAAAGACCTTCAGGAGAAAATCTGATAATAGCCCGAGACATTAAATCAAAACATAAAAGTAAGAATTGAGAATAATGCTTGGTGGCAACGACCTTTGTATCTCAGACACTTTGTCTCTCAGAATGTGCTGTGTGGGGAGAGCTATCTCAAAGCTTTATGGAAGATTTTTATCTCCATGCGTGACTAAAAGAAATGGAGACATGTTATCTAAATTCAGCTCTCTTTTTTTGTGGCATTCTTGTCCTCTTTGGGTTAGAAGATGCCTGTTTGCTGAAGAAAACTTGATTTTTGGAATCTCCAAACACAATTTGGAATCTTGAATGATGGAGGTGCTCAGTCATGTGGGAAGCTGCCATGACAAGTTAGACTTCCTACTGGACCCACTCACCCTTCAGTTCATGAAGACTAATGAATGGAGGGGAGTTATAAAAAGGGTTGGCGGTGCTAGATAGCAAGTCCCTGTTTTCTTGAGCATTACAAGATATCAAGACCACTTGAGCAGAGTTCTTGAGAAAGGTCTAATTTTTGTCTTTTGTCCATCTCCAGGTGTAGAGCAGGTCAGCATTCGATTAGACCTGGAAGCTGAATTGCATTTTACTCACCTAATAATGAAATTCAAGGTACTGTACTGAGGATCTATGAATCGTCAGATGCAATAGAGAGGATATTTGATGTTTTGCCTACACAGGAGATAGAAAAAGTACCTGACGAAAGTATGGCATAGCTATATTTTTTAATGTTTCTTTTAAAAAACTTAGTGGGAAAATGAATGTGCTTTTCTGCAAATACTTCGGTTTCTGGGCCAATTTAAGTTTGTGCCAATGGAGGATTTCCTCTCTTTTTAGAGAATTGATTTTCATAAAAACCCCAATGAGCAGGGAAAAGTTTAAAGACTTCTCACTGCCTGCTGCGCACTTGATTATTATTCCACACATCCATTCCCGGTGGCTATTTGCATTTTTGAAACTCATACATGTTAATACAATAATATATTTAACCTTTAAGCTGGCACTCAAATGCTACCCAGCACGGCAGGAATTTCTATTTTTAATGTAGGCTGAGTGTATCATGAAGTGCACCACAAAGCAACTTTGCCTACTCTGCATCCATGTCCTCAATACTTCCTTCCTCAGTTGAATAAAGTTTTCCCCAATAAGTTTTACCCACAAAAACTAGGGTGATTCCCCCCCTCCACTTGTTTTGTGCGGTCCTTGGTGGTCTCTGAGTTTGATTGTTTTCTTGTTAGACATTTCATTATCCAACTAGGAAACATCAGTGCTAGAAAGTGTGGGGTTTACTCTCTCCATATACAAAAGGCTTGCCCTATGAATATTAGTGGGAGTGTTCTTGGTGGTTCCTTGATTAAGCTGTGGTTTATGGTTTGATTGTTTGTCTCATTTGATAATTCCTGGATTGGGGTATTTTGTTTGCTTCTTGATTGTTGATCTTGTATTTATCTTGGTGTTGATTTCTACTTATCTGGGTGTTGATTGCTGGTGAGTTTGTGTTTTGATCTTTTAAAAAATTTATTTATTAAATTTCTATGCCACCCACCTCCTTTACAAGGTGACTCTAGGTGGCTTTTATGTTTCCTTTTAGCTTTTGATTACCTCTTTTGAAGGATCTATTAATGTTATTTATATCTAGAATCAACTTGATTCTTCTCAGATTTCTTGGACCACAGCTCTATAATTTCAAGTCACTTGCCATGCTGATCTTGGGTTGCTGGGATTTGCATTCCAGAGACTCTCGGCCTCAGAATAAGCTACCTGTAGTGCACATCTGAAGAACCATCTTACTATGGGATCCTCTAATCCAAGGGGGTCAAATTCCTGTCATCATGGCTGTGTCACGTGACATATCAGGACTTTCCCCCCTTTCCCTAAACCGGGTGTGGGCGTAGCCAGCACGTGACGCATCTAGCCCCGCTCTAGTCCATGAGTAGCGCAAATGATGTTGACGCAACTTTGCCCTTTCCCTGCCACTGATCTCAGCAGTGCTTTGTAATGAGACCAGTGATTGAAACTATCCTAACAATTCATTGTGGGACCTGTTAGGTTCAGCAATTGGTGATGTTGCTTCCTCAAGCAGATCTGGGACTATTTATTTTATAAAATTTATTTATTTGATTTGTCAATTGCTTACAAGATAATAGGTATAAGTATAAACATGAGTAAGAATATAGGAAATAGGTACGAATAAATGGGGACAATAGGACAGGGACGGGAGGCACTATGGTGCACTTATGCACGCCCCTTACAGACCTCTTAGGAATGGGATGAGGTCAATAGTGGACAGTTTGAGGTTAAAGGAGTGGGGGTTTGAGGATGTAACAACCACTTTGTTGCTGAAGTCGTACTTTCTGCAATCAAGTCTGGAAAGGTTTACATTGAGTTTGTATCTGTTGTGTGCTCTTGTATTGTTGAGGTTGAAGCTGAAGTAGTCATTGATTGGTAGGACATTGTAGCAGATAATTTTGTGTACTACGCTTAAGTCCAATTGTAGGTGGCGTAGTTCAAGATTTTCCAAGCCCCAAATTTCAAGCCTGGTGATATAGGGTTGTGAGCAGAGGAGTGTAGTACTCTTCTCGTGAAATATTTCTGGACTCGCTCAATTGTATTAATGTCCGATGTACTGTGCGGATTCCAGACAAATGAGCTGTATTCGAGTATTGGTCTAGCAAAAGTTTTGTATGCCCTAGTTAGCAATTCAATATTTCCAGAGGAGAAGCTTCGTAAGATTAGATTTACAACTCTTAATGGCTTTTTGGCAATGCTGTTAAAGTGAGCTCTGGCGCTTAGGTCATTAGATATGAGTACTCCGAGGTCCTTGACAGAGTGAGGGTCATCAATGAGGTCATATCCGCCTAGCTTGTATTTGGTGTACTGATTTTTTTTTACCAATGTGTAGGACAGAGCATTTGTTGGTCGAGATTTGGAGTTGCCAAATGTTTGACCATTCAGACACATAATCAAAGTCACTTCGAAGAACAGTAGCATTGTCGGTGGTGTTGAATAGTTTTACATCATCCGCGAAGAGGACGCAGTTGCTTATAAGGTGATTGCAAAGGTCATTTATATAGAGTATAAAGAGTGTGGGTCCTAGAATGTTGCCTTGGGGAACACCGCTGTTAACTGGAGCAGGGTTTGCTCTTATGGGAGGAGGTATCCTATATCAGAGGGCTTGATGGGTCTAGTCATCAGTCGAAACCTGATTTGGGTGAGGGGGAAGCAGTAAAACATGAGAGGGCCTTCCCTTTTATTTACTGGGACTCGCTGAATCACTGTAGCATCTGATCCAACAAGGTGTTATGAGTCAAATTGACACTCAACCCTCTGGGACATGTCTTGTAGGTATTCCATGGGTGGAAATATATAAGAAAAGTGCCAGTAAAATAAAAAATGTATTATATTCTTAAGCAAGTCATGGAAACTTTTCCATAATACCATGGAAATATACTGTATTATATAGACATTGAATGAATGAATGAAATGAATGAAATGAATATACAGATGGTCTGATGGAAAAAAGCGAATTAAACTTGCATCTAGAAAAGTCAATCTCTTTTGTTCCCAAATACCTGACTTCCTTTGGTATTCATGTTTGTTTTGGACATTTTAATGTAGAGATCATCTCTTAATGATGTACAGGGAAGTTAGCTGGAGTAGCGACAAATGTTCTTCCATTAATTCTTCCCTTCCTTCTCTTTCAGACTTTCCGCCCAGCAGCAATGCTCATTGAGCGTTCATCGGATTTTGGGCAAAGCTGGAAAGTTTATCGCTACTTTGCCTTCAATTGCTCCAAGCTCTTCCCAGCTGTCCCTACTCAGATCCCAACACATGTCAATCAAGCAATGTGCGATGAGCGATACTCTGAGATTGAGCCCTCCAACTATGGTGAAGTCAGTGCTATTCTATGGAAGTAGAATGAAATGCAATTGGCAATGTCACTTGGAAGACCAGAGAATCGTATCTCTGTAATTATATGAACAACCTGGGGAAGATAAGCAGTCAGTCTTTATTTACTCAAGCAGATTTAAACCCCTTCCCCAAATTCCCCCACTGTTTTCTATGCAGCTCCAGCAACACAAGCTCATTCACAGCTCAGTTTGTCTCTCTCAACTACGATTAATGGAACTAGAATACAAATAGACACTTGGCTCTGAGAAAGGGCTGCAATCGGATAGCAAACCTCATTTGCAGGCAGGACATCCTAGATTTAATTTAGGTGAGGAGTGTGAAGGTTTTCAAGGTGGCTGCCTCTCAGCATGGATAATACAGAGAGAAGAAAAAATAATGGCCTGGTTCACTGTAGTACAGTTGACTGTGTTCACTGAATAGAAAGATCAATGTGACATTCAAATTAATGTTTAAACAGTGGAAAGGAATATAAAATCTCAAGTTTTGAGCATGAATGCAGACAGCCACAATTGTTGAAATGAACTTGGAAAGTAGTAACTCAGGTTTTTGAGATGAATGTCTTGGGGCAAACTGGATGAGGTCTAGTCTTAAAATGTTATCAAACGGTAGCCTTGGGAATACCGAACTTAAATTGGGATACATCTCTGAAACAGCAGTGGGATCTTACCTGTTCCACTACCTAATGTGCACACGCAGCTTTCCACAGCCTGCAGCGCCAATCAGCTGAGAGGATAAAGAAGAGAAAAGTGCAGGGGCGGATGTGGGAGAGCCAATCCTGCGCTTTTCTCCTTTCTCCTCTCAGCTGATTGGAGGCTTTTTTCCCTCCTCTCAGCTGATCGTGGGAGGCTTTTTTTTTTTTTAACTACCGGTTCAGTCGAACCAGGCTGAACCGGTAGAATACCACTACTGCTCTGAAGGGAATTGGTCAGTTTCATCTGGTTTGTGGAAACTCCTTGTTAAGTTCTTACACACATAGCCCTTGACTTACGACCCCAACTGAATCCAAACTTTCTGTTGCTAAGTGAGGGATTTGTTAAGTGAGTTTTGCCCCATTTTATAACCTTTCTTGCCACAGTTTATATTAAATTGTTAACAACCCAGTTGTTAAGTGAATCTGGCTCCCCCATTGACTTTGCTGGCCAGAGATTCACCAAAGCTTTATCACCCGACCCTGGGACACTGCAACCGTCATAAGTATGAGTCAGTCACCAAGTGTCTGAATTTTGTTCATGTGATCACCAGGATACTGCAATGGTTAAGTGTGAAAGTCACTTTTTCAGTGCTTTTGTAACTTTGAACAATCACTAAATGAACTGTTTCAGGGTGTGTTAAATTTTATGACTTTCAATTTGCAACCATTAGGTGTTCTGACCAAGGCTTCCTGAGACATTAAGAAATACACATTAGTCCCAAAACCTTTTGTTTTATTTCAACAGTTGTGAATTATAGTCATTCACAGCCCATATTGAGTCTCAAACAAACAGTTTGTAAATAGTCCCACAGAAGTCTGCCAAAGTCCTTCGGGATAAGTCTGATAAGCACACACATCTTTCTTGAAATGCTGCCAAGACTAAATTGCCAATTAGTTGTACAAGACCAAACTGAGCACAAAGTCAACATGGAGCTTCAGGTTTCAAACCGACCAGTACAAACAAAATTGCTTCCTGCAAAGGTTCATGTCCCTTTGCTCATCCTTTATGTCTTATAGGAGGGCCAATCACCTCCAAGCCTTACTGCCAAGTCGCCCCTATTGTCTTAACTGTTCTTGCCTTCTGGCAGCTCTGCACACACGTGCACTGGTAACAGGCTCCCCCTGTTCCTCTCCCTCACTGCTGTCAGATTGTGGAGGCTCTGGAGTCAGCACATAACTCCCAGATGGCCCTGGCCCCCTCTCTGTATCGGACGCAGAACCCTGGTCCAAGTCCTCCCCAGGTTCCTGGACTGGCCCATGTTCTTTTCCACTGTCCGACTCTGCTGCCATCTCTGCAGGCTGCCGGCGGACCACAACACTAGGGATACTCAAAAGCCTTGCAGATTGTAAAGATATTTTGGTTACTATAATATAATTTAGATGTGCTTGGTGAGTAACTACATAAATGCCATAACTTTTGTAGTAACATTTTGTTTGTTTCATTTGTGGTAAGTCAAGGACTACCTGTATAGATTACAGCTAAGCCAGAATGTCACATTTTTCTTGCTCCTTATCTAAGGAAGAACAGGATAGAAAGACCAGGGCAGATCTGACAGGTGCAAAATGGTCCTTGGTTTATGACTATAAATGAGCCTGGAACATTGCATCATTAAGTGAGTCAGCATGTGACTCACTTAATTTTTACAACATGTTTGTGACAGTCGTTAAGAGATTGCAATGGTAAACTAATCTATTTTACCGAATGGGCAGTTTTTGATGGAATGAAAAGTAAATGCTGGAAACCAGCCAAACCCATCCAAAATTGTGATCACATGACCACGGCGTGCTGCAAACTGCCGTCAAGGTTGCCAAGCATCCAAAATGTGAGGATACAATTGAAGGTGTTTGTGAATGGCTGTCATAACTTCAAAATCAGGTCATAAGTAGCTTGTCTATAAGCTTGTGTATCAGGTCATAAGTAACTTGGTCATAAGAGCCTCAGTGGTGCAGTGGTTAGAGTGCTGTACTGCAGGCTACTTCTGCTGACTGCTGGCTGCCTGCAGTTTGGCAGATCGAATCCCACCAGGCTCAAGGTTGACTCAGCCTTCCATCCTTCCGAGGTGGGTAAAATGAGGACCCAGATTGTTGGGGGCAATAGGCTGACTCTGTAAACTGCTTAGAGAGGGCTGTGAAGCATTGTGAAGCGGTATATAAGTCAGGGGTGGGATGCAAATATTTTTACTACCGGTTCTGTGGGAGTAGCCAGGTGGGCATGTCCATGTGACTGGGTGGGCATGGCTTTGTGTGTGTGTGTGTGTGTGTGTGTGTGTGTGTGCAGCACCCCACCCCCCGCACTCCAGTTCTTTTTTTTTTTTTTTTTTTTTGGGCTCCAGGGAGGCCATTTTTGCTCCCAGGAGGCTTCCCTGAGGCCCAGGAAGGCAGAGCATGAGCAGGGGCCACAGCACGAACGGTAGCATTTTTTACTACCGGTTCGTTTGAACCAGGCCGAACCGGTAGAATCCCACCACTGATATAGTGCTATTGTTAAGTGCTATTGCTATTGTGGGGAGTCTGTTAAAAGTCAAAGATTACTTGTGATAGGTTTTGGATACATGACTATGACCCTAACAGAATTGGGCTCCAGGTTTTTCCTGTTTAACTTTTAACATCAACAATGTTAAAAGAAAGTGCAAGTTAAAATAAGAAAAAATATTCTAAGCATTCATAAGTTTCCCTATCCGTGTGCCAGAGAGACATCAAGGAATTTCTCCTGATACCTTCAGTTCTAAGTAAAGCAGCTGGGACCAAATCTTTTAGCCTTTTCATATCAAAATACGCTATTCAGCACAAACTTAATTCTTTACATGGGAGATTTTTTTCCCACCCATCTTAAAACCTCTGTATTTCTCAAGGGCTCGTTTTAACTTTAGCTCAGTTGTCTGCTTTTCTAGGGCAGATTCCTGAATTTGTAATATTAAGGTGATGGGGAAAACCAGCCTTCTTTGAAATTCGGTACGTTGTGGGACCACTAAATATGAGAACCTCTTTCATAGCGACAGTATTATGACATGCCGGGTTTTGTGTCTGTGTAACACAGCTTTTAAAAAGATGTCTTCTCTGTGTTTATGTAGTTTATTCACTACTTTGGATTTCTTATTTGAAGGGTGAATGTGATTAATTATTATTAGACCCAGTCGTTGCCTAATTTAGATAGCAGCCTTGCCCTCACTGTTTTTCCTTGGACATTGATCTTGGTAAAAAGAACTCAGTGACTTTACAGATTGTCCTTGGCTCATGACTGGTTGCCTAAATTACCATTTGAGGTTATAACAAACTTCAGAAAAGCTACTTATGACCTATCCTGAACAACTGCACGTGCAGACACACACACACACACAAACAAACACACACGGGCACATGGTCTCATTTCAGGTGCTTACATTTAAGACCAGTTGTAGTGTCCTATGTTTATGTGATTGATTTTTGACTTTTTTGCTGTCAGAAAAAAAGGAAAACACACCCATCGGCTATGCCAGATTTGGTTCACTTAACAATCATGGTGGCTTTCTTTCCAACCATTGTAAAAGCGGTCATAAAAATTGACTAGGCTTATGATCGATGATTTATGATTAAAATCCCAGCCTCAGTTGTGGTCGTAAGTTGAAGTCTACCTGTCTGCCCTTAGAAAGTTAGGGAAAACTTAGGTGTATCTCTTAACTTCTCTCTGCAGGTCATTTTCAAGGTACTAGATCCAGCTGTGAAAGTAGAAGACCCCTACAGCCAGGAAATCCAAGGTAAGGCTTCAACGGGAAGTAAGGAAGAAATCGCTTCCGAGAATTGAAAAGAGATGTTGCCAAAGATTTTTAAAAATGTTGCCAAGCCTTTAGATATTGATACAGAGTCATGCTTGCGATAGTGGTGAAAATCTTTAGCTCGAGTGAGGGATAAAGGTGGTGGTTTGTTCTCTGAGCTTATGGGTTGGTTTCTAAATGTTTCATTACCAGGCCAGATAATACCTTCAGCGGAATCTAGGGAACAGAATGGAATTACCCTAAATTCCATTGAAGATGTTACCTAGCCGTTTGAACGAAATGTTCAGAAACCAATCCACAAGCTCGGAGAACAAACCTCCACCCACACAGAGTCATACCCCGAACAAGCAAATATGGGAAGAAATATGGGAACAAGTAGTAAGGTATAGAGGACTTTTTAATAAAGAAAGGACATCATTATTAGAAGAAAGATCACTGTAGTGGAATGTGAGAATGACCTTGGTAGATGGGAGGAAAGAGATGCTGCCTAGGGAACAATTAGATAAAAGAAGGAGAAGCCCACAACTGAGTATTGGGCGGGAAAGAGATTTAGAGAGGATCCAACTGGGGTGGGGTTCAAAAGTTTTAGCAACTGGTTCTCTGCCTGGTTGCTGGGTGGGCGTGGCCATGATAGGGTGGCGTAGTTGGCCTTTTGCACCACAGTGGTGGGGGCAGTTTTGGCACATTTTCGGCCTTCCGGAACTTCTGGGAGTCCCAATTTTTCACCCTCCCCAGGCTCCGGAGGCTTTCCTCGTGCCTTTGAGAAAGCAAAAATGGAGAACTGGTAGCAGCCCACTCCTGGATCCATCCTAACTAATCAGGCACGGTGAGAGACGGTGGGAAATTTGTACTTTCAGACTTGCAATATTTTACCAATCTAGCCTTATAATAAAGTTGAATTAGCTCATCTTGTCCTGTGTCCACTCTGGTCAACTTGGGAGGCAGACAGCCATCGCAGACTGGATTGGCATTCAGGTTCATTTAACAGGGATTATTGTAGGCTGTGGTAGCACAATGCTGTACATGCCAGTTTTTCAGTTTATTTATTTATAAAATTTATAGGCTGCCCACCTCAGCTCAAGGTATCCTCCAGATCTGTTGGACAATCTCACCCTGTGGGCATGTGATGGGAATTTTTATTCAACACTTTGGAAGAGATACATTTGGGAAAAGGTAGTAGTTATATTATTGTGCTTCCTGCCTGATAACCGTGACCATAAGAAGGAGGAAGAAAAGCCAGAAAATAGAAAGTGGGGAGGCTGAAGAGTCTGTAAAAGCTAAACTGCTGCTTCAACAATTCCCTCTCTTACCCAGATTTGTTACGTGTCACCAACTTGCGGGTGAACTTCACAAAGCTGCACACTCTGGGAGACAATTTGTTAGACTCACGATATCAAGTACTGCAGAAATACTACTATGCGGTATATGAGATGGTGCTTCGAGGGAGCTGCTTCTGTTATGGACATGCCTCCGAGTGTGCGCCGTTCACAGGATCAGCTACTCCGGTTGAAGGCATGGTAAGTTGCTCAGTGGGAGGCAAGGAGAAGATCAGGGTGGTGAGAAATCGGTAACCACATGAAGTTTGTTAGAATTTGCAGCAGAAATTCAAATCCAGGAAGCACACACAGATGACTGATTCAGCAGGATTCATTAACTTCTTTATATGCATATAATATATAAGTAAATATACAATACCAAAGTAGGTGTCAGGATTCCGGCAGTTGCCCTAATTAAATCATGAGCCTCGAGCCAAGCTTCAAAAACTTCAAACGATTTATTAGGAGCTAACATGTCGGTATGTAGCTGTAGTTCTTCCAACGTGGTAAAATTACAATCCAAACACAAGCAGGAGCTTCAGAGCTCAGAGCAGAGAGAGAGATAAGTCACGCTCAGACTCTCTCTTTAAGTCTCAGTTTCTAATTTCCATTGGCTGATCTTGTTAACCATGTCTCTGCCAGTTCATGAATATTCTGACAAAGTTTACGTGAGCTCAGCTTGTATCAGGAGTTTTCTGCACCTACTGTAGGAATTCATGCTCTTTTAAAAAAAATATCTCTATGTTGGGAGTCTATGGAGATTCTCAGTCATCCAGGTCATGGTTATCCCAAAGGTGCTTTTTCAAGAGGCAACTGGACTTTCTGGTTTTTCTTTGAAGATGTTTCAAAGAAGATTGGAGATAGATAGATGATACGACATCATCTATCTCCAATCTACAACACAGTCCAAGAAGGCTCTACACCCATTTGCACTACTCAGGTGACCCTGATGACACAGATAAACCTCCAGGTGACCTTAACGTCCCGCTAAAAGGATGCAAATGACCAGCTGTCTGCAAGGAGTATAAATCCTTCCATTCTCCACCATCCAGTCAGAGCTGAAGGAGCTTCTCGGATGAGAAGGGAAACTTCTTCAAAGAAAAATCAGAAAATCCAGTTGCCTCTTGAAAAAAAAAGCACTTTTGGGACTCTATGCTGGGAGCTACTCTCTCGTGAATTGACGTGCAAGGCCTGGTGAACCTATTTTATCCATCTCCTCTGCTCCAGATCCATGGACGGTGTGTCTGCAAGCACCACACCAAGGGCCTCAACTGTGAGTTCTGCAAGAATTTCTATCAGGACTTGCCCTGGAGTCCAGCCGAGGTCCACAATCCACATGCTTGCAAAGGTGTGAGTTGAAAACGAGGCCATTGTGGTTACACGGAGCAGTGAGGGATTGCATTAGTAAACCAGGTGGGAGGCTTGCAGGGACATCAGTCTCTGATGCACATGGTAACATCACTGACTTCGTGTGGTTGCATAGCCAAGACCACAAGCCCTGGAAAAGTTTAGATTAAATTAACAGAGTTGGGAGGGACCTTGTCTGTCGTCTAGTAGTCCAATCCCTCCGCCCAAGAAAAAAGAGGCTAGCATAGATCTATTTCAAGCTATTTAGCTCTCATCAGCTAGCCATACCCTTCTGGGATTCAAACCTGGGCTACTTACATATTAGGTAGATATATTAACCTCTAAGCCATGGGCTCTCCTCCAAGTTTAATCATGGGTGTACTTACTGATTTATTAAACCGTATGGGAAGTTTTTTAATTTGGAACTACAATTGCCATTGCTAAGCAAGGCGATCGTTGAGTCAATCAGGCCCAGTTTTATGATCTTTTCCCCCCATGATTGTTAAGAGAATCATTGCAATTGCTATGGGAGTTGTTAAGTGAATTATGCAGTTGTTAAGTGAATCTGACTTCCCCCGTTAACTTTGCTTATCAGAAGCCAGATGGGAAAGATCGCAAACGGTGATCCCGGGACCTTGCAACCTTCGTAAATACATTTCGTTTGCCAAGTGCCTGAATTTTGATCATGCAACTGAGATGGTCATAAGTGCACGGACCGATTCTAAGTCACCTTTTTTTTCAGTGCCGTTGTAATTTTGAATGGTCAGCAATGAATGGTTGTAAATCAAGGACTACCTGTACAGGTAATAGCCATTCAAAGTTACAACGGCACTGAAAAAAAGTGACTTACGACTGTTTTTCACAGTTACAACTTTGCAGCATCCCCATGGTCACGTTTCAAAATTCAGATGCGATGCTTGGCAACCAGTTCATACTTATGACTATTGCACCACCCCCCCGGGTCATGTGATCCCCTTTTGCAACCTTCTGACAAGCAAAGTCAATGAGGAAGCCAGATTCACTTAACAACGAGGTCACTAACTAATCAACTGGAGTGATTCACTTCACAGCTGTGGCAAGAAAGCTCGTAAAATGGGGCAAAACCCACTTAACGAATTTCTCACTTAACCACATAAATTTTGGGCTCAATTTTGGTCATAAGTCGAGAACCACCCGTATAGTATCCTGAATCACACATCTAGTCAAGATCCAGGCAGAGAGCTTCCTCTTTTGAATGGCCATCCAACCCCACTGCAGAAATTCCTGAACCTTTCTCCTCCCTGGTTGAGGGAGGGCTCCTTCACCTGGGCTGCCTTGCTTCTTTGTGATACTCCTTGGGAGCATCCTATGGGAGCACCACAGTTGTCATGACTTGGGACCATTCAGGACCCCAAGTTTCAGGGAAGTTGATAGGCCGTGTCACCGTTTATTTAGGCTCTACTGGAATAAGAGCCGTGATGGGTGGTGCAGTGGTTAGAGTACAGTACTGCAGGCTACTTCTGCTGACTGCCGGCCGATTGCAATTTGGCAGTTTGATCTTGACCGGCTCAAGGTTGACTCAGCCTTCCATCCTTCTGATAAAATGAGGAGCCAGATTGTTGGGGGCAATAGGCTGACTCTGCAAACCGCTTTAGAGAGGGCTGTAAAGCACTGTGAAGCGGTATATAAGTCTTAAGTGCTATTGCTATTGCTATAAGTATTGCTAGATCAGGGGGTTGTCTTGGGTGGTATCCATGGAGGAGAATGGAGACGAACGGAATGCAGGCAACTAAATCACTTCCCTGTCTTCTCGCCAGAGTGCAACTGCAACGAACACTCCCACCGGTGCCACTTTGACATAGCCGTCTACCTGGCTACAGGTAACTCCAGTGGTGGGGTCTGTGACGAGTGCCAGCACAACACCATGGGCCGCCAGTGCCAGAGCTGCAAGCCGTTCTTTTACCGCAACCCACTGGCTGACATTAGGGCCAAAACCGCATGCATTCGTAAGTATGTCGCTTTCTTCTTGCATGCCCCAGAAACAAAGAGGAAGTAAACTGAATCTATACATGTGAGTGGCTTTGCCAATTGCTTTGGGAAACACTCTGTAGAACTGAAAAGTGTCCATTCTTTCGCTGACCATTTCTTTTTTCTTCCATTGTGTCTGATTCTTGGAGTTTATCTGGACAAATCCCTGCAGTTTTCTTCGCAAGGTTTTTTCAGAAGTGGTTTGCCGTTGCCTCTTTCCTAGGGCTTAGAGAAAGTGACTGGCCTAATGGTCACCCATCTGGCTTTGTTCCTGAAGCAGAACAAAAAGTCACAGTCTCTCAGTTTCTAGCCTGAGACCTTAACCCCTACACCAAGCTGGCTGTCTTGACCCTAAAGATGAAGATAAAGGTTCCCCTTGCACATACATGTAGTCGTTTCCGGCTCTAGGGGACGGTGTTTATCTCCATTTCTAAGCTGAAGAGCCAGCGCTGTCCAAAGAGGTCTCCATAGTCATACTAAATGCCAAAGGCTCACGGAACACTGTTCCCTTCCCACCAAAGTGGTCCCTATTTTTCTACTTGCATTTATTACATACTTTGGAAATGCTAGGTTGGCAGAAGCAGAGACAAGTAACGGGAGCTCACTCCATCACGTGGCACTAGGGATTCGAACCGCCGAACTGCCGACCTTTCTGATCGACAAGCTCAGCATCTTAGCCACTGATTCCCACTAGTTTAAATTGCTAGCAATTTTTAAACTAGTCAGAAATCAGACACTATTGTTTTGACCACTTCCAGGATGTATTGATCTGTACGAAGGCCATGGTTGCTTGTAAGATATCATTGGAGCTTTCCTCCAGAGGAAAGGATTTGAAGTGGATTATGAAATAAACTGTCAGTAGAAATGAATGCTGCACACAATTGTCTGTGCCTTTGATTCACAGATGCTTCCCTACAAAGTGTTTTGTGCTGGATAACTCTGCACTCTATGATCCCATTCCATCATCTTCTTTAGCAGTTAGTTCAGCTTATTTCTAAAACAAGTATACAATCGAGCCTTTTGATTGAAATAAAACTCTGAAGTTACTCATAAGGTTTCCCTTCGGATTCTCTTTCCGTGGCTCTTTTCGTGGTTCGTGATACATGAATACCAAGATGTCTGCAGGGGTCAGAAGTTCAATATGATGGTCACCTCTGCACAATACTCAGTTAGCCAGAAAGTGCCAAGTCAAGTCTAAGCTCATGTGTAGCAAAATGCAAAGATCCAGTTCCTGGGCATCTTCAGAGAACCAAATTTTTGCTTTTCCTGTGCACCAGGCACAACCCAAATGCATCTTCCAGCATGTTTGTGGGTCATACCCTTTCCTCCAAGAATGTGTTTTTCTCCTTAGAGCAGGGGTGTCAAACTCAAGGCCCGTGGGCCAGATATGACCTATGGGGTGTTTAGATCTGACCCACGGGGCTGCCCTGGAAACAGCGGATGGCCTCCTGGAGCCCTTTGCCAGTGAAAATGGAGTTCGGGGGGCCACGCTCGGCTCATCAAGGCTCCATTTTTGGCCATGACAGCCTCCTGCAGCCCTCTGCCAGCAAAAATGGAGTCCAGGCAGGCTGTGTGCGGCCACCCCGAGCTCCAGTTTTGCTGGCAGAGGGATGCAGGAGGCAGTCACAGCTAAAAACAGAGCCTCGACAAGTGACACTGAGCTGGTCACATCCTGCCCCTGGTCATATCCTGCCCCTGGTCACACACCCCTGCCCCACCCCATCCCAAGGTCAAACACAACCCTGAGGTGACCCTCAATGAAATCGAGCGACACCTCTGCCTTCAAGGGTAAAATGAGAGAAACATGGACAGTCCACTAACAAGACGGACAGGGACTCTTGAATTTTTTTGTAAAACCCAAAGTTAGACCTGGTCTTTCTGAAGCTGCTCCAATGTGAAGAAAGAGGTTAACAAATCACTATTTCTGGGAGTCGCCATTGGTTTTACGGTGCCTCCAGCATGCTTCGCAGAAAAAAATGAATAGCGGTGTGGCATTGTTCAGCCTATCCAATTTACCGATTTCTTCTGCTCCACACGCATGCTTTTTCTCTTTCATCTCGTAGCCTGTGACTGTGACCCAGCAGGCTCTTCGGATGGAGGTGTGTGTGACAGTCATACAGACACAACGCTGGGTATGATTGCGGGGCAATGTCGCTGCAAAGAGAACGTCAAAGGTGCGCGTTGTGACAGCTGCAAAGAAGGCTTTTACAGCCTGAGCCTGAACGATCCTCTTGGCTGCCAACGTAAGTAACAAGGCTGTCTGGGGAAACCGGGTGGCTGCAGGAATAGAGAGACTACTGGTAGACCTCATCTTACAACCACAATGGAGCCCAACATTTCTGTTGTTAAGCGAGACATTTGTTAAGGGAGCTTTGCCCCATTTTGCCACTTTTTGTGATGACCCGGGGCATGGCGCAAAGGCAACACAATCAGATAATCAATAAAAGTCCCTTTAATAGCTCCAACTTTGCCCCCAGTGTCCAGGTTACTGCTGGACTGCTTTTTAACCTCAGTGTACTGCTTTTTAACCTCAGCTGCTTCACGCGGCACAGCCGATTGCCGCACATCAGCTGTTTTACACACAGGGCTTGCAGCGGAAGGTGAGTTGCAAATGCTACACACGCGCAAAGCACATACTCACATTGAACCAGTAGGAAATGTTTTTGAAACCCACCACTGGTACGTGTCTGTCGTTTGGAGACAGTTGCATAGCTGTTGCATTTGTACTTCCAGTAATGTTAATATTCTGGCTGGGGGGGGGGGGGGGCTTTCAAACCACCTGACTCCCAACAGGAAGTCAGATCAACCAATCAACATGCAGGTTGTACATCTTCACGCAACGCATAGTTGAGATTTAGGACTCATACACATTGGCCTGCCTGCAATCATCTGCAATCTACGCTTACCCATCAATCTCTTTGCAGTGGTGAAATGCATCAACACCTACGTGTAGTTCCGGATAAGTCTAAGCCAAGCTTAGTTGGCCATACCCAACATGGCAGTCATTCTTTGAAAGAACCTCAAACATGCTCTCAAAATTCCAAATGTGCCCACTGGCTTAGAGAGATTAGGAATCTGGGCTCTATCAGTGCATTTTTTAGTATCTCTTACGCAGCCTGTTATTTCTCCCTCTGTCTATATTTACTTAAACAGTACTCCTTATCCTTTAGTGTTTTTTTTTAAGGCAAAACAACTATGGAATGGAAATTCATTAGACCTTACTATTTTGGAGCAAAGTGAAGAAACAGCTTGTACTAGGTGAATTCTCTTAGCAGAATCTGAATGCTGTGGTTGTAGCATGTTGGGTGGAGCAAAGCGGTTGGGCATTTGCAGCCATCTAGTCTGCTATGTTGGGCTTTGGGGAGGGGAGAAGTTTAAGCAGAGAAATGTGTGCCTCAAACCTCATTGCAACACAATCTGGAGGAGAGTTGAGGGTTGCATGTCATTCATGACCAGTGAGGTTCTTGGTGCACTTTGAACTTGGTTGTTTTCTTGCAGACATTTCATTACCCAACTAGGTGACATTATCAGTGCTAGAAGGAGGTAGGGTTTGCTGTCTGTTTATATACTCGTATATACTTGTTCTGTCAATGTTAGTGAGTGTGTTCTTGGTAGTTCCTTCAGACTGTTGTTTGCTGTTTGTTGGAGTGTTTGTCTGAATTGTTTCTTATTGGCTTTGAATGATTATGTTGTTTGTCTCTAAAGCTCATGAGGACCAATAGAAGAGAACATCTGTAGCTCAGGGTTGAACTGTGAGATCTCTGGTACTCTCTGAGTTTAGTTGTTTTCTTGCAGATGTTTCATTACCCAACTAGCTAACATCATCAGTCCTAAAAGGGAGTGGGTTTGCTTTCTCTACTCCCTTCTACAGGCACAAAGAGATTAACAACATACCATTCAAAAGAGACAATAAAAAACTAAAACAGCACAACACTTCCTTGCCAGCAACCTACATCCGTGTAGGCAGAGATTAATACTGAGATTAATACTATACCAACAAAAGTGTGTATAGTCAAGGCTATGGTTTTCCCAGTTGCAATGTATGGCTGTGAAAGTTGGACCATAAGAAAGGTTGAGTGCCAAAGAATTGAGGCCTTTGAACTTTGGTGCTGGAGGAGAAGATTCCTGCGAGTCCCTTGGACTGCAAGGCCATCCAACCGGTCAGTCCTAGAGAAGATCAACCCTGACTGCTCTTTAGAAGGCCAGATCCTGAAGATGAAACTCAAATACTTTGGCCACCTAATGAGAAGGAAGGACTCGCTGGAGAAGAGAATTTTGCTGGGAAAGATTGAGGACAATAGAAGAAAGGGACAACAGAGAATGAGGTGGCTGAATGGAGTCACTGGAGCAGTCGGCGTGAGCTTAGATGAGCTCTACCAGAAGATGGTAGAGGACAGGAAGGCCTGGAGGAACATTGTCCATGGAGTCGCGATGAGTCGGACACAACTTCGCAACTAGCAACAAAATATTATACCAAAATCAAGCAGTAAAGCAATATTTCAATCAGCTCAGTCAAACGATCCAACTCAGAGAAACAATCGAGGAGGGCGGAGCTGGCGTTGCGACGATACGGCATGCGATCTTGGAGGTCTGAGATCGCAGCCGATATCTTTGCTCCTGGACGGTCCTATCGGATCTAAACCGTCCCGAAGAGACGGTGAAAGTGAAGAGTGCATCCTGTCGATCCCATGGATACCACAAATTCCCTGGTAGATCCAGGAGAAGCTCTTCTTGCCAGTGGCAAAGAGGCAGCCATTAAAGCTGCTGAAGTTGGGACAGCTCCGAAACGGAAGAGAACAGAAAGAGAGAGTGTGCCGGTTTCATGAGAACTTTTTTTTTATTCTAAGATCTGAAAGGACACCCTAAGGAAAAGAAAGAATCTGTAAAAGTTTTGACAGAAGTGATTAAGCGTTGATTTTAAACAGGAATGTCAAAGTAATGTGTTTTTTTTCTTCTCATTGCTGGATTTTCTATATATGATCTTGTATTTTGAAACTGGACTGGTTTTTTCGTTTATATCTATTTATTTCTTCTCCTTTTTGATTTTGTGATATTTTAAGCTAGAGGCTCCCTTTAGTTATTTCATTTTTTAAAAATATCTTCTTCTTTTTTTAATTAATTCTTATTATATCCTGCTCGGAAAAGGAGGGGGAAAGTGAGAGCAAAGAAACTTTGTAACACTGCCAACTAGAGGCTTGAAAATATTCTATTTCCCTGTGACCAGACAAAGCTGAGAAAGAAAGAACTGAGACTCTTTTTCAAGGACATTGCTATTTGATAAGATAGAGGGAAGAGCACGGGAGAGTATTATTGCAAGGGCTCTTCTGGGTTTCTATCAACAGCTGGAGTCTGGTGTTGAAACACAGGGGGAAAAAAGGTGATAAGTTTTTGGAGAAGAGAGCTATAATAAGAGCCTTGGATAATTAAACAAAGTGCAGTGTGCCCTTTTTACTTTTTCTAAGTTGTGCTATCCCTCCTCACCAGCTTTATTGTATTTCTTTTTATTTAATTTTTTTTGTAATAACTATATGGGTTTTTGGCTTTGTTGGAGCTTGTCTTTGTTTTACTTTTTTTCTTTGGAAGTCCAATCTCTACGTTTGCTTTTTATTTTAAAGGGGAAGCCTTAAAAGCCTTTTTTTCCCTTTCCTGGTATTTTTGTTTTTTCATCTACCTTTCTGGTTTATTCTTATGTACTTTTTTCTATTTGAGACCTTTCAATTGGATTAAGGTGTTGAAGAACCTGAAGAATTTTTCCCTTTTCTTTTTTTTCTTTTTCTTTTTAAGCTCTTTTTCTTTATCCTACTATTGATTGGATTAAGGTATACAAGAACCTGAAGAAATTTTGTCCTCCCTTCTTTTTTCTTTTTTTAATTATTATTATTGGGCTTCTTTTTTCTACTATTTTTATTTTGAACTATAATTGGTTACTTCACAATTGGATTAAGGTTTAGAAGAACCTGAAGATTTTGAATTGCTTAAAGTGAGTAGGAAATTTACAGCTCCTGGTTCTTCAAATTCTACTTCTTCCTCTCCACCATGTGGAGGACAACGTTCAATACAGACAATGTTAAAGCAAGAAAAAGAACAAGAAAAAGTGACTCTGCAGATGATTATGCAAGGAATTCAAAATATTCAAGCAAGATCAGAGAATATTGAAAAGAGAATAGAGAACATTGAACAAAGAACAGAGAACATTGAACAAAGAACAGAGAACATTGAACAAAGAACAGGGAAAACCAATGAAAAAGTGGAGAACATGCAACAAATGATGTTGAAGTATGATGAGAGATTCCAAAAAATTGAAGAAGATAAACAAAGAGACAAGAAGATTGGAGATATTGATAATAGATTAACGGTGGTTGAACAAGATAAAAGTGGTATGTTGAGATGGGAGATGAATAGATCAGAATTCTATCTTAGATTCCAAAATGTAGAGAAAGAAAAAGGACAAAACCTAGCTGAGATAATGATAGAAATACTGGCTGAAGCTTTGGAAATAACTCAAGAGAAGATGATGGATGGAATAGATGAGGTTTATCGAGTTTTCACAAGATATGTAATGAGAAATAGCTTACCAAGAGAAGTTCACATTAGATTTACAAAGAAAGCCATTAAAACGCAAATATTGCAAGTGGCAAAAGAGAAAACATTGAAATACAAAGACAAGGAGATTGTGGTCTGGAAACAAATACCCAGAAGAGTGAGAGAGATGAGAAGAGAATACCGATTCCTGACTAAAATGCTACTTAAAAAAGAGGTGAATTATAGATGGCTGATTCTAGAAGGTTTAATGTTCACATGGCAAGAACAGAGACATAGAATTGACTCAATTGAGAAAGCGGAATTATTTTATACAGAATTTTTTGGAGGGAAAAAGGAAGAGCCAGAAAAAGAGATCTCACTAATTGAATTCCAAGAGAACTGCCAAATGGCGACTGAAAAAGAAGAAGGTGCAGTAGGTGGAAAGGTGGAAGCCAAAGAACAACGTGAACTAAGATCTACGAGAGCTGCTAAACCTAACTATAAAATATAACCATGGAAGAGAAAAAATTGATTACAATTAATATAAATGGACTTAACTCAGCCGTTAAAAGAAGAAAAACCTTTCATAAATTAGAGAAATTAAAATTTGATATAATTTGTCTACAAGAAGTACATATTAAAAAACAATATGAACAATTGTTGGTACAGCCAAAATTAGGGAAAATATTTACTTCCTTGACACAATGTAAGAAAAGAGGAGTGGTTTTATATATTAAAGAGACCACCCCAGCAAAATTGATCTATACCGATGATGATGGAAGAATACTAATGGTGGAAATAATGGACAATAATATGAAAACACTCCTGATTGCAATTTATGCTCCGAATGACAAACAAGAAGAATTCTACAAAAAATTACATATGAAAATAATCGAACTGGACTATGCTAATATAGTTCTGATGGGAGATTTTAATGGAATTGTAGACAATAAATTGGACTATACAGCACAGAAAACAATAAAGCAAAACAGAAAGACTCTCCCTAAATCTTTTTTTAAAATGGTAGATGAAATAAACTTAAAAGATACATGGAGAGAAAGAATTGCTAAAACTAAACAATACACCTTCTATTCAAATAGACACTTATCATGGTCCAGAATAGATATGATATGGATGTCAACAGAATTAATACCTAACATTCAAGAAATAAATATTGAAACAAGTACTTGGGCAGATCACAATCCAATGACAATTAAATGGAAAGGATAAAAAAGATCTAGATGGACGTTAAATAATACTATTTTAAAGGAAAAAGACTTCACACAGTGGATGGAGAAAGAATTGGCTTTTTTCTTTAGAGAAAACAAAAAAGAAGATACATCAATTCAGAATGTATGGGATACAATGAAGGCATATGTTAGAGGCTTGATAATAGACTATACAAGGAAAAGGAATACTATGAAAAGACTAGCCTCTAAGGCCCTAAAGGATGAGCATAAAAGACTTGAAAAAGAGCTACAGAAAATGCCACAGAAAAAGGACATCAAGCTAAAAATGGATATAATTAAACACAAAATGGGTCAAATAGAAAAAGAAGAATTAGCACAGAAAGTTAGAGGTGCTAAACAGAACTACTTTGAAGACGCAATCGTTGAATCTTCCATTGCTAGAAGTTATGAATGAAGTTATGTTAAAGAAGAAGATACCTAAATCATGGTCAGAAGCCTATATTACACTTATTCCTAAAGAGGAGGCTGACCCATTACAAATTAAGAACTATAGACCCTCTACTAAATGCAGATTACAAAATCTTTGCTTCAATATTGGCAGAAAGACTTAAAAAATATTTAAATAATTTTATCCATCCTGATCAAAATGGATTTCTGCCAAAGAGACAAATTAAAGACAATATGAGAGTAATCTTGGACACCTTGGAATACTACGAGGCACATCCTGAAAAACAAATGGCTCTGATATTTCTAGATGCACAGAAGGCATTTGATAATGTGAATTGGCGATTCATGTTATTACTGTTGGAACAGATGGGTTTTGCTAGAAAAAAATAGACTGAAACCAGAGATATTTTTATTGGGAATTTTACCTGAAATATATAGTAAAGACTTGAAATACCTGATTGTAAATGTATTAACAGTGGCTAGGATTGTATTTGCTAAAAACTGGAAAAATGAGAAAGTACCATCACAGGAGGAAATCATTAAGAAAATATTGGAATGTGCTCAAATGAGTAGATTGACATTTGAAATTAGAGAGCAAGAGGATAAACAATTTTATAAAATTTGGGATCTTTTCTATCAATGGTTAGACAATAAAATACAGTAATGAAATACGTAGACTTTTAGAAAATAATAAATATATAAAGATGTACTTTTTTCTTATTATATCTACAAAATGATTTTAGGATAGATTTGGGATGATAATATGAACTGTTATAAAACAAACTAAGTAAATTATGATTATCTTGTAAAACATGAATGAATAAAAGTATAGTCAAATGATTGATTAATAATGATACTAATGTATTTAATTTTTGATTGACAATATGAGATCATATGCAATGTAATTGTAATCGAAGACTACGAAATGGAAGCACAAAACAATTTGTAAACCAACCGGCACACTGTATGTACACCTATGGAAGACAGCTTGATGTTTTTATGTTTTGTTTGTTTATGTTTGTTTTTAAAAACCAATAAAATTAAAAAAAAACCAATCAACCATTAAACAATAGACTAATCAAGGAACTACCAAGGACAGTCCCACCAACATTGTCAGGGTGAGCCACTTGTATATAAACAGAAAACAACCCAAATTCCTTCTAGCACTGAAGATGTTACCTAGTTGAGTAATGAAACATCTGCAAGAAAATAACCAAGCTAAGTGCTTACCCCACTTTTTAAAGACCAGAAACAGATCCCATGGAAACTACTGGCATGTATTCTCAGCCTGCAGGTGTGACCCTCGTGGGATCATCACAGATAGCAGCTCCTGTGACCAGATCAGAGGTGATTGCTATTGCAAGCGTTTTGTCACCGGGCAATACTGCGACCAGTGTTTGGTGAGTGAGTGTTGTATCAATTGGATTTGTGCTTTTCATATTTTGAGTCCAGTCCCTAATGGGTGTGTTGGTCCTTCTCTCTCACAGCCTGAATACTGGGGTTTGAGCTACGACGTGGCAGGCTGCCGAAGCTGTGCTTGTGATTTCGGAGGTGCCTACAACAATAGGTAGGACTGCAATGAGCAGACACCAAAGGAAAGAAAGGAAAAGAAGGAAACATTTTAAGTGGTTCCCCAGAGACCGTCTGCCTCTTTCACAGCTGAGAATCCTGAATTGACAGACACTGAAAATAGAGCTTCACAAATTGACTCCGTGGCTAGTGGTCAAATTCTGTAATAACACCGACATCCTAAAGCAGTTCACTGCAACAGCAGCACTAACATTTATTTTATTTTTATTTATTTTTATTTGTCAATTGCTTACAAGATGATAGGTATAAGTAAAAAACATAGTTATGAATACATGGAAACATATAAGAAAAATAATAAAAAAATATAAAAGAAACAATAGGACAGGAACGGTAGGTACTTTGGTGTGCTTATGCACGCCCCCTACAGACCTCTTAGGAAAGGGGTAAGGTCAATAGTAGACAATCTAAGGTTAAAGTTTTTGGGGTTTGGGGAAAAAAAACCCACAGAGTTAGGTAGAGTATTCCAGACATTGACCACTCTGTTGCTGAAGTCGTATTTCCTGCAATCAAGTTTGGTACAATTAACCTTTAGTTTGTATCTATTGTTTGCTCTAGTGTTGTTATGGTTGAAGCTGAAGTATTCATTGACAGGTAGGACATTGCAATGTATGATTTTATATAGTATATTTAGATTGGACCGAAGGTGGCGTAGTTCTAGGTTTTCTAGGTCTAGAATTTCGAGTCTGGTGGCAAAAGGTATTCTGCAACGAGTAGAGGAGTGGAGAACTCTTCTTGTGAAATATTTCTGGACTTTCTCAACTGTGTTGAGGGTTCCGTAATTGAGATATGTAATGTGGGTTCCAGACTGATGAGCTGTATTCGAGTATTGATCTAGCAAATGTTTTGTATGCTCTAGTTATTAGTGTAATATTACCAGAGAAAACGCTACGTAAGATTAGGTTAACAACTCAATGCCTTTTTGGCTATGTAGTTACAGTGGGCTCTAGCATTTAGGTCATTTGAGATGAGTACTCCAAGATCTTTCACAGAGTTTGGATCATCAACAAGATCTTGACTATTCAGCCTGTATTTTATTTTCTTATTTTTTTTGCCAATATGTAGGACAGAGCATTTATTTGTTGAGATTTGAAGTTGCCATTTGATTGACCATTCTGATATATAGTCAAGGTCTTTTTGAAGGGTAGCTGTATTGTCTGTGGTGTTGAATAGCTTTACATCATCAGTGAAGAGAATGCAGTTGCTCTTGATATGATCACAGAGGTCATTTATGTAGAGTATGAAAAGAGTTAGTCCTAGAACACTACCTTGGGGGACACCACTGTTGACAGGTGCAGAATTTGATAGGACTCTCCCAATTTTGACCATTTGTTGTCTGTTTGACAGGAATGCCTCTATCCAGTTATGCAGTTGTCCAGAGATACCATAAGATTTTAGTTTTAGGAGTAGTTTGTCATGTACCACTGAATCAAAGGCTTTACAGAAGTCTATGTAGATTGCATCTATTGCTTTGCCCTGATCGAGTTGTGTAGTCCATATGTTTTTGCAGTGTAAAATTGCAGATTACATGATAGTTTTTTCCTAAAACCAAATTGTTTATTAAAGAGTGGGTTGTTTGTTTCTAAGTGGAGGATGATGAATTGGTTAATAATTGATTCCATGACTTTACAGGTGACGCAGCATAAAGAGATTGGTCTGTAATTTTCAACTAGGCTGGGGTCTCCCTTTTTAAAGATGGGGATGACCGTGGCTTGTGACCATAGTTTTGGCAAGGAGCGGGTCCTGAAAGATTTTTCAAAGATTATGCTTAGAGGTTCGGCTATGGCAGTGGGTAGTTTTTTTAAGAAGTAGGCACATATTCCATCCGGTCCAATAGATAGAGATGGTTTTAGATTGCGCAGTGCTTTTTCAACAATGTCTTCTGTAAAATTGATATGTATTAGATCATTGTAGTTGTCTGTGGTTCAACTAGGAAATACTGGGCATGATCCATTGCTGTTTACAAATACTGGGCCAAAGAATGTGTTAAAGAGGTTGGCTTTAATGGTGTTGTCATTGTAGTCTTTACTTTTCAGGGGTGGGATGGACCTTGAGTCTTTTAGTTTGTTGTTTATAAAATTGTAGAAAGCGCTGGTGGAATTGGTGTGTAGAAGGTTTTCTTCTTGTTTAATGTGATAATTGGTGCATTCAGTTTTTATCTGGTGGCATAAATTTTTGTAGTGGCTTTTGAAGTTGGCAACGTGACCAGATTTGTTTTTCCGCCAAAGTGATTTCTTTTTGGATTGAAGCTTCCTTATTGTTTTGGGTAATTTGTTTTTTCTGGTTTTGGGAGTTGTTAATGGTACATATAGTTTGATGACTCTTTTGACTTCAAGTAAAAATATGTTGTAATGGTCTTCTACAGTATTGCATCCAGAGAATAGAAATTGCCAATCAAGGGATGAGAGATCGTTGTTTATAAGATCATAGTTGCTTTTTTTGAAGTTATAATTGGGGATTCCGTCGTTGTGATGATTTTTGTGTGGACGTATGTTGAGACAAAAGTCAATCATGTTGTGGTCACTGTTGGAAAAGGGTTCTTTAATTTGTATTCTGTAAATTGAATTCATTGCAGAAGATGAGATCGAGGCAATTGTTAAGTCTAGTGTTGTTGGTTACCAGTTGTTCTAGTCCCAGATTTGTTACTGCATTGTAGAAGGTTGCATGTGTGAGTTCAATTGTACCTTTGTTAAGGGTTCAGTTAATATGAGGTAGATTGAAGTCATCAAGAAAGATAAAAGCGTGTGGTCAGGATGCTGCCCATGTTAGTAGTGTATTTAGCTTGTTTGCATGTTCGATGTCATAATCAGGGGCTCTGTAACATAGTAAGAACTGAAATGTGATATTTAAGGACAGTTCACAGACAATGGTCTCAGGAATAGCAAGCTCCTGGGTTACTTGGATGTTTTTTAGATGTAGGGACTTTTTATAGAAGATAGCAACACCACCTCCTTTACGGATTTCATGATCTGATCGGTAAACATGATAGTCTCTTACTGTGGTAATGGAGTCAGGGAGAGATGCGTTGAGCCATGTTTCACAGATAAATATAATGTTGAATTTAGCCATATTTAGTAAGAGGAGAAATTCAGGTATTTTATTTACAAGGCTTCTTGCATTGAGTAGCTTGCATTTAAGGCCAGTTGTGGTTGGAATAGAGGTAGTTAGGGGCATGCATGCCTAGTTTTGAGTTATGTTGGATTGGATAGGGTGGGGTTGGATGCAGAGTTGTGGGTTATGTGACTTACTTTTGATACAGTCAGCATGGTAGTCAATGTACAGGTCCTTCTCTCCATTGTCTAGACGGTTTTTGAGTTCTGCGCGGAGTTCATGGGAGCGGATTCTTTGCAGTATGGATAAGTCTGGTCTTGAGCGAAGTTTTTTGTGGTTGGGATTGGTTTTTGCAATGGCATTTATTGTATGAATGAATATGCATTTTCTGGACTCATTTTTGCATACAACTCTACAAAATCTTGGGGCCACAGAGCCGTCATTGTATTTATACCCATGGCCATCTCTGGTTATTTCAATGATATCTTCAGGAGAGATGTCATTGTATTAGAGTTGCTTATGATATCACGAACTTTGGTAATGTCATCTGATTCGTTGGTGTCTTCGAGACCAGATAAGATGACATTTGGACATTTCTGTTCACGTTCCATGGTGTCTCTGATGAGTAAGGAGATATTATTTGTGGAATTATTTGAAGGGATAGTAATTGTTTGTGGCTGTGGTTTGGTGATTATTTTTGGTTGTAGTTGTGATTGCAGTTGAGGTAGTGGTTGTGATTGTTGTGGGATTTGATTTTGAGCTGATAGGTACTCACTTATCTGTGCTGTATTTTTTTTTCCAAGAGAAATTAGGCTTGCTTGTATAGTTGTTTCAAAACGTGTTGCTAAGCGTTCTTCTATTGAGTGAATGAGTGATTCTATGCTTTCAACTCTGTCAGGTAGGGTACTCAGTTTGTTTAGCTTAGGAGAACATGATGGACATAGAAAAAAGAATGTATCTGAATTTTTAACCATATTAGCTAGGTTTTTGTTTGCGTTTAAGCAGGCAGGGTGAGCTAGATGATCGCATAGGCGGCATTTGATGTAAATTTCGCTTTCATTGATGGTTTCAAGACATTTGAAACATGTGCAGGAGTCTGGGAGGTCATTGGTAGAAATATTTTTCTTTTGTTTTGGTTTGGAGTTTTTGGCTGGCATGGTCAATGGCAATAGTACAGTAATCAATTACAAGAGCCAGTTAATGTGATAGGTAGACAGTTACTTAATGAATGTTGGTAATTAATAAATGTTAATTGATATGTTAGAGAACGAATCAAAAGTAAAGTTGCTTATTACTAAAAATCAATCAATCAATTAACATTAACACAAATGCGTAGAACATTTCCACTTCATACAGCTTGGAGTCTTTTTTCTTTCTTTCTGTACTGAGTGAAATTTCACAAAATGATAACTTATACCCAAATGAATTTGAGAAAACCATCAGGAGCCTGACCAAAGTGCTTTGGGAACAGGAGTTTTGTTCTTGGGTACCACTTTACTGTGTTCTCAGTGTCTCCCCCAAGGCCATGCTTATCTTAGCAATAGTTCCCATAAAAGTTCTCCTTCATGTCCTAGTGCTCTCCAAGTTACACTGCCTTTTGGTTGGGTGAACCAACCATCTGATGAGAGGAAGCCATAGAGAAAAACAGGTGGTACCTCCACTTACCATCATAACGGAGACCAACACTTTTGTTGGTATCCAAGACAGTTGTTAAGTGAGCCATGTCCCATTTCACCAACCTTTTGCCACAGTTATTAATCACTGCAGTTGTTAAGTTAGTAACATAGTTGTTAAGTGAATGTAGCTTCCCTGTTGATTTTATTTATTTATTTATCTATTTATTTGATTTGTCAATCGCTTACAAGATAATAGGTATAAACATGAGTATGAATACAGGAAATAGGTACAAATAAATGGGGACAATAGGACGGGGACAGTAGGCACGATTGTGCACTTATGCACGCCCTTTGCAGACTTCTTAGGAATGGGGTGAGGTCAATAGTGGATAGTTTAAGGTTAAAGGAGTGGGGGTTTGAGGATGTAACAACAGAGTCAGGTAGTGCATTCCAGACATTGACCGCTCTGTTGCTGAAGTACTTTCTGCAATCAAGTTTGGAGTGGCTTACCTTGAGTTTGTATCTGTTGTGTGCTCTTGTATTGTTATGGTTGAAGCTGAAGTAGTCATTGACTGGTAGGACATTGTAGCAGATAATTTTGTGTACTATGCTTAAGTCCAACCGTAGGTGGCGTAGTTCTAGGTTGTCCACGCCCAAAATCTCAAGCCTGGTGGTGTAGGGTATTCTGTTATATTTTGTAGGTCAGAAAGCTGCAAAAAGTGATCACATGATCCAGGGATACTACAACTATCATAAATACATTCTAGTTGACAAATGTCTGAAATTTGATCACATGACTGTGGGATGCTACAATGGTCGTAAGTGAAAAACAATCGTAAGTCACTTTTTTCAGTGCCGTTGTAACTTTGAATGGTCACTACACAAATGGTTATAAGCTGAGGACTATCTGTTCATTCAGCTTTATGCCTGGCTCAGGCATCCCACAACACTGAGCACCTCTACGGGCTGGGACCCGGTTGGGTTCTCAGCCAGCGTCTCTACCGCAGAGCTGGACCAATTTTCTTCCAACTCAACTGCTAAGATCTCAGCTCACAACACAGATATTTTGAGATGCAAGATGCAAACACTTCTTGGGACTTGGAGTTGGGCCGGTTTCCCCTTGAACCTTCCAGAAATACGGCACTCCCCTTTTTCTGCAGCTGGCAAGCTGCCTTGTAGTGTCCTATGACCCGATAACAAGGCTTAGGGCAGCCAAGCAGACAAAAAAAAATATTTGTTTTTCTCATTGCAAAACTAAACATGGGAAGGCAAGAAAAGGATCGCAAGAGAGGGCGTGGGTGGAATTTTGGCACTCCACTAGTGGGAGCTTCGGCTGTCTGCTGTGATAACATCCACCGTGTTTTGCAAGACTGAATCTGAGAATTTGGGGAGAGCCACAGTGCAGCAGAATATGTGGTATTCCTTATTGCATCCAGTCCTGTTGGGAACGGACTGACTCGGCCTTGAATTTTTGCTTGCCAAAGCAAAGCCTAATTGAACCAGGTTACCTTGTTTGAAGATGCATTTGATAACCGAGCTCTCTTCCTGACCATAATAGGCAGTATAGTCACTGCCTCTCTTCTTCATTTCTCAGTTTGCATCTTTATCCTTTCTTGGCAGTTGTTCTTCATCTGTACTGAATGTCGTGATATTTTATGGCTAACTCTGTTAGTTTGGATTGTTAATTATGAATATTGATAAGAAGCACCATACTAGGTGTTCCATATTAGCAGGCTTAAAACCCTGCATTCCTATTGGTCCGGAAAAGCCGGATCGTGATTGGATGGCTTGAACGTTCCTGATTGGCTTGTACAGGGTTTGCCGCGATTGGCTGAAACCAAGCGCGGCAAACTCAAAGGGTTGTCATTGGCTGCCTAGCCACGGCCAGCTCTATAAGAAGAGCTGCCGCGCGCTGGGTTTTTCGTCTCAGAATCTATCTGCTTAATAAAGAGCTGTTGTTCACTACCCAAGCCTCGTCTATTCATGGGACCCACTGACCATACTTAACACTAGGCATACCACAAGATTACAGAGAAATGTTAGGCGAGGATCTGTTCTTTAATACTATACACTAAACCTATTTGCGTTACAGGTAATTCTCAACTTACACATTTTCATTAGTGACCTTTCCAATTCATAACGGTGCTGACAAAAGTGCCTTACCACCAGTTATTGCTCTCACTTTTATGAGCCCTGGTGGTGCAGTGGTTAAAATGCAGCCTTGCAGGCAAACTCTGCTCCTCAGCCTGGTGTTCGATCCTGGCTCAAGGTTGACTCAGTCTTCCATCCTTCCAAGGTCGGTAAAATGAGGACCCAGATTTTGGCAGCAAAGAGTGTTGTAAAGCAGGGGGTCTCCAACCCCCAGTTTGTGAACCAGTGGTGGGATTCAAAAATTGTACTACCGGTTCTGTGGGCGTGGCTTGGTGGGTGTGGCAGGGGAAGGATACTGTAAAGTCTCCAGTCAGAGGTGGTATTTCCCGTTCTCTGAACTATTCAAAATTTCCGCTACCGGTTCTTCAGAACTGGTCAGAACCTGCTGAATACCAGCTCTGCCGTGGACCACCATCGGTCCACAGCATGGCAGAAACCAGGCCCCGCAAACAAACGAAACCCCGTTTGCGGGATGCAGGCAGCATGCAAAACCACGCCCCCTCCAGTCCGTGGAAAAAACCTCTCTCCACAGAACTGGTGGCCAAAAGGTTGGGGTCCACCACTGTAAAGCACTATGGAGTAGTATGTAAATCTAAGTACTATTGCTATTACAACTATCACACCATCTCCAAGGTGACATGAACAAAATTCAGGTGCTTGAAACTGGCATGGATTTATGATAGTTGCAGCATCCTGGGGTCACGTGATCACCATCTGCAACCTTTCCAGCAGAGGTGGTATTCAGCAGGTTCTGACCAGTTCTGGAGAACAGGTAGCGGAAATTTTGAGTAGTTCAGAGAACCAGCAAATACTACCTCGTCCCCATCTCTTCTCTGCCTCCCAAGTCCCAGCTGATTGGCTGGGTCTTCTTTGGTTTTCCTGTACAGGAGAACGGAGCTGGAAAGCAGGTTAGCAGGGTGGGGAGGGAATGGGGATTTTGCAGTAACCTTCCCCTGTCACCCCCACCAAGCCATGCCCATAGAACCGGTAGTAAATTTCTTTGAATCTCACCACTGCTTTCCAGCCATTTTCTGATAAGCAAAATCAACGGAGGAAGGAAAAGATGGCTTCAGCCAAGTCAACTTCAGAGTTGACAATGGTTTTGTTTAGCGATCGCATAATTCTCTTAACAACTGCCGTGATTCTCTTAACAAAAAATTGTAAAATCGGGCGCGATTCACTTAACAACCGCCTTGCTTAGTAATGGAAATTCTGGTCCCCACCCCAGGTCATAAGTCGAGGACTACCTCTCTGAAACCATTGGCACTGTTGAATGTTGCCTGCTTTTTGCCAGTCCCACTCCGTTTACATTGTTCAAAGATTTAGCAAGAAGATGTTTATTTTTGCTGTTGTCCCTTCTGTCTCCAGATGCTCTATGAATGATGGCCAGTGTCCCTGTCGGCCCCACCTTATAGGTCGTCAGTGCAATGACGTGCAGCCGGGGTTCTTCTGTATGCCCTTGGATTACTACATGTATGAAGCTGAACATGCCACTGGTCTTCCTCCAACCGATCCAGATCTCCCAGTAAGTGTGCCGGGCAAAGGAAGAGTAAATAGAATGAAAAACTGCTGTATCTGCGTGCAGCTTGGTCTGTGTCTAGAAAACCCTGGCCATTTATTTAAGAATTCAATAAGGGAGAGGATACAGGTGGTCTGAGGCTGGCTTAAGGCAAATTTGAAGGCTACTTGAGTGCTAGGCAGGTGGTGGGATGCTACCTGTTCTGCCTGGCTCTATAGAACTGGTAGCTCTAAAGAGCAACAGACACAGAACCGGTTCTGTGTTTGCTGCTGTTTGGCCCGCCTGCCCAGGCTCTTACCTGTCCTTTATTTCCTGTTTTTTCAACCTCAGATGCTTTGCGTGGCACAGCTGAGGTTGAAAAAGCAGGGGAAAAGTGGCTTTCCAAACGCTGCGCACCTACGCGCAGCGCTTATCAGCTGTCCGGGCGGCACAGCCTAAGGTTATTTTACCCACGCGTGCAGCATAATCACCGAACTGGTAGTAACGCCGGTTGAATCCCACCCCTGGTGCTAGGGAATACAGTCCAACTTCCTAGCCTACTAAAAGGCTACAAGAGGCTATCCAGAGATGCTGTAGGGTATTTACCCCTGGAAAGGATATGGCTGACAAGTTTCAGCCTGTTCTTTTTGAACTTGGGGATAGGGATGAACCTCATCCGTGAGCTGAAATCACACACCAAATCTTGTTGATGCAAACTCAAGTGTACTCAGTGCGAAGATTGGGCCAGCGTGGCTTTGGCCCGGTCTACCCAATGCGAAGAGGAAACTGCCAGCAGTTTGGGGAATATCGTCAAGCTGGCCACGCCCACCCCATCAGCCATGCCCACCCCATCAGCCACGCCCACCCCCATCGGCCACGTGCCCCCCCTAGATCAACTATAGCCCTGATGCAGCCCTCAATGAAATTGAGTTTGACACCCCTGGTCTAGCCCAACACATTGTTATATTTTCCTGTGTATTTCTATAGTATTTAGAGCACATCCCAATCTTTGGGTAAGGTCCAACAGAATCCCCTTCCCAATCCAGGTGGCTCAAGCAAGGGATCCAGATCACATACTGCAAAGGGGAATATGGTTCCCTTCCATTTTCCCCTTGCAGATTTTAGCTTCTTTGGGTTGTTGGGTGGCCAAGGCAGAAAGACACATAGCAATTTCAGTGTGATCTGCTTTCCTCCCGGTGACAGGGTCCCCTGAGGCCAGAATCGCCTGTGGATTGTGTGGAATATTACAACGGCGTCCAGAATGGGCGCAGAGTGAGGCTGAGGCGCCAGCACAGCACAATAAGGCTCTTGCAGCAGCGAGGGGTGCTCTCGCGAGCCCGACAGTTTCAACAAAAGGTGACTGTGGGAGAATGTCTGTGGGAGAAGTGATGCCGGAGGAGAAACTGATATTACCCTGAGCTCTCTGAGATACTAATAGGGCTGCCCCAGAAAACTCGACTTCCAAAGGGGAAATGTAATGACCCAGGGCATGGCACAAAGGCAACACAGTCAGTTAATCAGTAGGAGTCCCTTTATTAGCTCCAACTTTGCCTCCAATGTCCTGGTTACCTTCTGGCTGGAGAAAAACTCTCCCTGGAACAGCCTTTGTCTGCAGAGAATCAAGTCCAAAATGTGGTCAACAAAAACTGTAACTATAAATCCAATCAAGGCAAGATGAGGTAATTAGTTTGGCAGGGCAGGAACAAGAATTCCAGGTGTGAAGGCACAACAATAACTCAAATGGTTGGGAAGATGCCAGGAACCCAGATAAGCAAAGTCAACACAAGATAAACTCATGTTTGCTCCCAGCAGCTGCTGCACGCAGCCTGCATTTCTTTTAAACTTTCATTCCCAGGTGTGGCTAATGAAGGGAATCAGAGCCCTTTCCTTCCCCGTAAGCCATGCAACCCACATTGCTCTCTTCTCTGTTCCTCCCTGCTTGCCCTAGGATGAAGAGGAGGTGGGCCTGGGTCTTCCTCTGAACTCCCTCTCCCTTGTTCTATCTCTTCCCTGCTCTGCCCAGGTGGACTTTGCCCTTCCCCAGTTTCCTCCACAGCCAATAGAGCCACACTCCCACTCCCTGTCAGCTGTTCATCTTCCTCCTCGGATTCAGACTCTGACAGGGGCATGACAGGAAAGAAAGAATAAAATGAAACTTTCTTTCCCAGCTCACATTCAGCAAACAGATGATTTCCACTTTGATCCCAGTGAAGGGACAAGCCCTGCACAGCGCATGAAGTCCTAGCTTAGGGGAATTTATAGAGAGCTATGGGTATGTGATACCACATACCCTTGCGTAGTACACTCCTCTCACAGCCCAGAGTCATAGGGAGTTGGGCAGTATATAAATTAGATACAGCTGGTCCTCAACTTGTGACTGTACTGGAGCTTGATCAACCTGATTTTACATCACTTTTTGCATCAGTCATTAACTGAACGTTTAGTATGGACCAGTTTTGCTGAAAACAGGAGCTACGGTAAATGTCACTTTTTAGCAAAAATACCATAAAACAAAGTCATATCACCATAGGATGCTGCAAATAGCTGTAAATTTGTGCCAGTTGCTTAAAATGTCACATGATTGTGGGATATATAAGTGTGGCTGTCAGAACTTCAGGACTATTTCATAAGTACCCCCA